AAGGTGGTCAAAACGTAGAAACTTCCAGTAATAAGATGGATAAGCACTGAGGATGTGAGGTACAACATGGTAAATATAATTGACACTGCTGTATGTTATATATGAAAGTTGTGAAAAGAGTAAACCCTAAGTTCAGAAGAAAAAAAATTTTTTTCTAATTCTTTAATTTGGCATGTATATGAGATGATGGATGTTCACTAAACTTATTGTGATAATCATTTTGTGATGCATGTAAATCAAATAATTATACTGTACACCTTAAACTTATACAGTGCTGTATGCCAATTATATCTCATTAAAACTGGAAGAAAAAAATATATATATTGGCAGCCAGACATCTTTATATTGACAGTGAGAATGATAGAATCTTCTTTTTGGATGAAAAGTTAGAGATCAACTAGTCTAAGCCTCTCATTTTATAGATGATGGAACTGAGGCTGAGGAGAATTAAATGACTTTTTTAGTGTACTTTTTTTTTCTTTTTATTTTGTTTAAATTAATAGATTTTATTTTTTAGAGCAGTTTCAGTTTTATAGAAAAATGGAGCAGAAAGTATAGAGTTCTCATATATTCCCTCTCTCCATGCCACACACAGTTTCCCCTATTATTAATATCTTGCATTAGTGTGGTATTTTTGTTACAATTGATCATTATTACTAATAAAAGTCCATAGTTACATTAGGGATCACTTTTTGTGTTGTCCAGTTCTATGGGTTTGACAAATATGTGATGTCATGTATCCAGTGTTGGAAATATGTAAATTTAATGTTAATAGATGCTAAAAGGTCATCTCCTAAATCAACATTACTTCTGATTAAAATTCTTAGTGAGCTATGAAAGAAACAAGCTTTCTTAACTTGATAAGGAGTATTTTTCAGAAATCTAGAACAAATATAATACTTAATAATTAAATGTGAAAAAAATTACATTGAAGTCATAAATTTAAGAAATCTTTCTGCTAATACCACTATCAGTGAACAGTATTCTGGAACTTCTAACCTGTGAAGGAATATAAGGAAAAGAAATAAAGTATACATATTGGGAGCAAATGTACTGTAATCACTTAACAATTATATAACATCCTTGGAGGAAGACCAAGAAAATTATTTGATGTATTAATAGAAACAGAAAGTAAGTACAGGGAAACAGTCAATTCAAGAGTAATATACCAAAAATCAATAACAAGTTAGAAAATGAAACAGGAGAGAAGACTCATTAACAACACTAATAAACATACTTAGAAATAAATCCAACAAGAAAGACGTCAGCCTTTAATGAAATACAAAAAGCAAAATAAAGAATAAACATAACCATATTGGGGAAAGAGTATAAAGTGATAAATTATAATAAAGTTATTGCAACTACAATTGAAAACTAAATGTAGCATTTTCAGAACCTTGAAAAATTATTTTAAAATTTCACTTGGAAAAGAATAAATAAGTTAGAACAGCCAAGAAAAATATACAAAAGATTAATGAAATCTAGACTTGTAGTTTATTAGAACATAATACAAAAATAATAAATGTCCCAGAAGAAAATAATTTTTATGTGACGAATACCTTGCTAAATAACAGCATGATAGAAACCATAAAGAAAAAGATGAACAGAAATGACTATATAAGCAAAGATAAAAGACAAATGGCAAAGGAGGGAAATTTAACTGTCAAATCTGTGAGATAAAGGAAAACACTACTATGTAAAATACCCCAAAAATATGAACATAAATTCATAAAAGAATTCAGATGATCATGAAACATTTTTTAAAAAGATACTCACTTCTGAAAGCAAATTTCACTTAGACTGGTGAAGAATAAAAAGGATTAAAATTTAAAGTATTAGGTATAACCATAAGAAAATAAGTGTTTTCATACATTCTTGGTGGAAAAGTATAAATTGAAATAATATTTCATCTTAGTAATTTCTCTTCTAGGAATTTACCCTACAGAAATATTGTCCCAAGTAATCAGAGGTATATGTATAATGCTGTTACCTTCAGAAAAAACATAAACGCAATCCAAAGGTACGTGACTGAGGGACTGGTTAAATAAATTATGATAACTCCATATAACAGCGTGGAATACTACACAGCTATTAGAAAGAGTGGGATGATGCTGTGTATTGATATAGAAAGATGGCCAATGTGTATTGTTAAGTTAAAAAGCTAGTGCAAATCACACACACACACACGAACACTATGATGTATCATTTGGTAGTATTTGGTAGTATGTTTACATACATGTTTGCATAAACAGAGTTAAAAAGCTGGAAGGATATATACTACGTGTGATGAGTGCTTTTCTCTAAGGGATAGGGTGGAGACTCTCGCTGTTTTCTTCCTTTTAAATGATTTGGTTCAATGATGCTTATGTTATTTGTAATTAGAAAATCTAAAACAGAAAAACATGAAAATTAAGAAATATATGGTACAAATGGGAACTCAAAGCTAAATTTGTGCTTTAGCTCTAACTTTAAATACTTGAAGGGAAGAAATTTTGAAAGAAAATTCCTTAGGCTAGTCCTAAATCTCTGGAATCAGATTTTGCAGAAATGTTTACCTTGCTCTTCCCCTGATTTTTCTGGGTATTACCTGCTGCACTGATGGATGGAGAGTCCAAAGGGATTTGCCTATGATCAGGATGCCAGTGGGTGGCGCCAGAGAGTCACCTAACCCTAACCAAACTCAAGTGTTAGAGCAGGGTAGGATCCCCCGTCAACAAAACCAGAAACCCATGCCTGCCAAACCAATAATCTGACCTATAGAGCCATTTTTAAAAATCTCTAAATACTCTTCCATTGGTCCATGCACCGCCACTGAAAGACAAGTAAGATGACAGCAGTTGCTATATCAGGTAAAACCACCTGAGGCAGCTGCTAGTTTGGGCAAAAGAATTGCCCTCAGGACATGAAAACATATCTTTCATGAAGCAGGACATTGACTTGTAGGGAATAAAAAGAATATTAGAAATTAACTTGGGTAGTTCTTCTGGAACACAGACCATTTGTGATAGAAGCAGAAATTCCCTCAGAGAAAATTGCAGCAAATAGACTATAGCTACAAACTAGAGAACAGCCCAGAATATACAAATGAGCATGCCTCTTTGAACAAGTAACTGTATATTTTTACAGCATCACCTTCACGGCTAACAAATTTCATCTCCTTTACAGCTGTGTAACTGTAAGACAATTTGAAAAACAACACCACTCTTTACACTATTAAAATTTCAGCCCATACATGTACTTGTAAAAAAGGTTTAGATGAGAGGGAAATCCATACAGTAGTAAATTAATTTTATAAATTATTAACTAGCTGACCCTTTCATCTAAGTAAGAGAATCATGAATTTTTCTCAGCATTTACTTTTAAGGAGATAATAAAGTTAGGCTGTAAAAGGATTCACAACATCCTGCTGAACAATAGATGATAAAGTCCAGGCAAATAGTTATTGGCACAAACTTGTTTTTCTGCTTATAGGAAGGGAAATTTCAAGAGTAACTCTGCAAACAGAGTAATTTTTATAGAGTGAAGACAATACTGTGCAGTAAAATGTGCATTTGACTGGGAGGTAGACCACTGGATCCAGGCCCAGTTCTGCTATTTATTAATCCGTGGAATTACATAGCTCACCTTGGGCAACCTCTCCAAACCCTAAATCTCAAGTTCTTTATCAAAAGATGGGATTGAACTAGATGTTTATAGTTATCAAATATAATTGCAGATTTTAACAGAATACTTCATGGTATATATATTCCAGGTTATTAATCCACAGGGAGTTGCTAAATAATGTTAGAATGTGGAGGAATCCAAAGAAGACTTATCTAAGTAAGGACTTCAAAGCTATTAAAATGAAAAATAGAGAAAATGGGAATGAGGAAAGGAAGGAACAGAAGGAGGCAGAGGAGGAAAGAAAAAGGAAAGCGAGAGATGAAGGAAAGAAGGAAGTAAGTTAAATTTAGAATGATTTCAAGTTTTAATCTAATCTTTATTGGCAAAAGTTGATTCTGTTTTTCAATAATACTGTTCTTAAAATGTGCTTTTTCCAAATTAACAAAAGTATGTTCTCAAATGAGTTATTACATTTGAAGTCATGGTATATGATTGTTCTTGATACAGTACAGAGAGTAGTACATAGGCAAATGGGCCAGTTTTTGTACATGAAATACACAAAATATATGTATAAATGTCATATTACTGGGAAGACATTTTGAGTTGTATAATAACAAAAACACCCGGATCAAATAAATCAGAAATGCTGTTTTCTCAATGAACAGGAAAAGTGTTTACAAGAAAAAGAGAAAAAAGAAGAGGAAGATGATGAGAAGCTTGATTTTTTTAAACTAAACTTTTATTTTTGAATTGTTTCAGATTTAAAGAAAAGTCATAGATAGTACAAAAGATTGCTAGATACCCTGGACCCAGTTTCTCTTACTGTTAACACTGTACATTTTATGACACATTTGTAACTAATAATATACAACTGATACATTATAATTAACTAAAGTCCATACATTATTCAGATAGCTATGATCTTTTTTTGTCACAGGATCCCATTCAGGATGTCACATTACCTTTAGTTGTCAAGTCTCCAGATTTGAGCTTCCTATACTTCCAAGTTCCCCACAGCTGCGCCTCCTGCCTTCCCATTTTCTAGAGCAATTCCAGCCCTGAGTCAACGATATTTAATCTGCTCTGGTCCAGCAGATCAGTCCTGAAGCTTTCCATGGTGCTCTGTTCCAGCAACTGATTTGCTGAGACCAAGACCCCTTTGCTTTTCATTTCATCTAGTATGAAGTGTCTTCAGCTGAACTTTGACTTCTGCATTCATGCCCTAGTCACAACCTCCCTTTGGTGCCATGTTCTTAAAAGGTGGTCTTGTACCCAAACCCACTCTTGCTATGTGCCTCTGATTCTAAAGTTGGGCTGCTGCTTTAATCCAGTTCAAGACCTCTCTTAAATGACCTATATGGATACTCTCAGAAAATGAGGAGCTTGTTTTATTCCAGGCAAATGCTCTGCCAGATATTGGAATCTTGTTCCTGAAATCAATTCCATCCGTGGACAGCTGGATCTCCTGTGGCTGGGACCCACACATTCATTGAGACACTGGTGTCGTGTCATGGATCTCCACTCTCAACCCTGGCGTCTAACACACGAGCCAAGGACTCCCTAGATGAAGGTAATGATTTCCAGGGTCCCCCATGTACTCAATTTTCTCTGAGTAAATGCCCATGAGCCTGAACCCAGGCTATAAGCCTTAGGATGCAGGTCAGCTTTCCCACTGGACAGAATGGGCCCTTCTGTCAGGCCTGGCTCCTCCCTGCCTGCCCTGTCCCACTGTGAGCCATTGGTCACACTGTCCAAATGAAATTCTCTTTTAACTGAACAGCTAAGCAAAAAAGGGGAAACTCAGTTTTTGAATGAAAAAAAATTAGGAAGATTTGGGGCTATTTCCTGACTTTATCTAAATATGTGTTAAATTCTACACTACATTTTGTGATTTTTACTAACCAAAATTATAATAGTGATTGTCTTTAACAGAGATCTTTCCTTGTTTAACACTACACAAGTCATGATTGGTAAATTTGACCAAGGTAAACTATTTACTTTAGTTCTTTTACTGGACATAAAATTGATATAATAAAAATTTGAAAATCAAATAAAAATATCTGGAAACACCAAAACCACTGGTTATGTAAATTAAAAATCTACTCATTTTTAGGATCCTTTTTCTAGCAAGTATGTTTATTTGAAAAATCTGAACAAGTACTTTTTTCACCTAATTTCCAAAATCAGATTCAGCAGCTAACATAAACCATAATTCCTTGAACAATTTCATAGAATAGGCTGTGTCAATAAACACAATCTAGAAGGTATTTTTCCTTATATTCCATTCGTTTTAATTTATAATTAATGTCTATTAGTATTCAATAAAGTTATTCTCTATTTGTAATTATTGGCACCTTTGTATTTAAGTGCTTCTGCAGTCTAGACAGGATACACTTATCTGTATGATAAATAATAGATAAATGATTAGTATGCAATTTGCTGTGAATGTGATTGATGGATTCCCCATTACACTACTTCTCTGTTCTTCTTTTAGCTCTGATGCCAGTGGCCTCTGTCACTGTATGATGACTATAATGCCTGCATAAAAATGAGTGGGGTTCCTCATGTTTCTTAAATCTGTTCTTCTTGTTTTGTCATTTCACAAAAATGGTGTTTAAAATGGAATGGTACAAAATGGAGCTTCAAATCAGGGTGTATTTTGCTCAGTTGTTACTTTGCTATATAAAATTTATTTTTCAGAGGCAGAATCTTGGGGGTATTTAGTGGGAGGTGTGAAGGAAGAGAAACTACAACAGAAGTGCCTTTTTATGGCTGGGTTTACTGAGGTGATGCAGAATGAGAGAGCGGACCTTCTCCTCCCTCCTGTGCAAGTTCACAGGGCTTGTAAAGGGTGATCAGAAGGCTGAGGCTGGGAACTTCAGGTGGACCTCAGGAAGTTTGAAAAGGCCTCTGTCAGCAAGCAAATATCCATGTATCACCCTTACTCATATTAAAATTAGAAGAAACCTAACGTATGTTTGGAAACACCCTTGCTTTATTTCTATCAAGAAAAGGACACGGGCTTCCCTGGTGGCGCAGTGGTTGAGAGTCCGCCTGCCGATGCAGGGGACACAGGTTCGTGCCCCGGTCCGGGAAGATCCCACATGCCGTGGAGCGGCTGGGCCTGTGAGCCATGGCAAAAAATAAAAAAATTAAAAAGAAAAGGACACAAAGAATAGGGTTAGAATATATAAATAATGAATATATAAATAATGAGAACAAGATTAAAATTGGAGAAAATATGTTCATGATTACAAGATGTAAAGTACTAAACAAACCCAGTGTCCAGATCCTAGTTTCTAATTCTATTCTCCAGAAAAAGGAACCAGGCTTTTTGGAGAAATGACTGATTCTAGGTCTGGAGCAGGCAATACACAAGATAAGCCTGAAGCATTTTGTAGTGTCATAAAGTAGGGAAGTGTTCCACAGCAACAACAAAACCAAAGATGGAAGTATGCCAAAGGGAAACAGGAGCCAACAGAAAGAGCTCCCAGTGGCCAAAGCTGGAACCATTTGAGCAAGAAAAGATACAATGTAGTATTGAATTATAATCCAAAGTATTTAACAAATATCCATGAGTTTTTTACTGGCGTAAATAAATGAATGAATAAATAACTGCACATGCAGAAGAATTCCAAACAGTTTACATTAGATACTGCCTTCTCAAGGAGGTGGAGAATAACGTCCAACCCTTAAGTATGGGCTACTCATAGTAGCGCCCTTCCACAGAGTACAGGATGGAAAGAGGGGGAAAGAGTGACCCCACAGTGGAGAAGGCTTAAGGACACTACCTCAGCCAAGAGATCAAACTTAACATTATTAGTGATAAGTCACGTTGGTAGCAGGTACCTTTGATATGAGATGATAAAAATAATACTCCACCTCTGTGTTCTTCCTCTCCCAAATTCATAACCCCTGTCTAGTCATGAGGAAAATATCATAAAGGTACAATTTGAGGGATATTTTACAAAGTACTTGACCAGTATTCCTCAAAACTGTTAAGACCGTGAAAAGCAAGGCAAGTCTGAGAAAGTGCCACAGTGTGGAGGATCCTTAGGAGACATGTTAATAAATGATATCCTGGATGGGATCCTGGAACAGAAAAAGGACAATAGGTAGAATCTAAGGACATCTGAATAAAGTGTGGACATTAGTAAATGTTATTATTTACATTAGTAAATAATAATGTACCAACGTTGACTCATTAGTTGTGACAAATGTACTCTACTAATGTCAGGTTTTGACAGCTGGGGAAAATGGGTACAAGGTTTATGGGAACCTTCTTACAATCTTTACAATTTTCCTATAAATCTAAAAATATTCTAGAATAAAAAGTTCATTTAAAAATAAATTAAAAAAAATTTTTAATTAAAAAAAATAGTACTAGACCACAACATCAAAGTAGATAGAAGTCCTCATTCATAGAACTCTAATAATCCAAGATTCAGACTAAAAATTACACGTAGAGCTGTTCAAAACAGAATTAATCAAGATAGCAAAAAAGTTAGGGGAAATTGGGGAAGATAAGAATAAAATCATCATGTTAGGCAGCCTTTTTTTGTCAAGTTTTCAGAAGTATAATGGCAGAGGAGAATGCATATGAAATAATATTAAATGGAAAGATGATATTAAACTGTATATAGAGACTGTCATACAGAGTGAAGTAAGTCAGAGAGAGAAAAATATCATATACTAACACATATATGTGGAATCTAAAAAAAATGGTGTAGATTATCTTATTTGAAAAGCAGAGGGCTTCCCTGGTGGCGCGGTGGTTGAGAGTCCGCCTGCTGATGCAGGGGACACGGGTTCGTGCCCCGGTCAGGGAAGATCCCACATGCCGCGAAGTGCCTGGGCCCGTGGGCCATGGCCGCTGAGCCTGCGCGTCCGGAGCCTGTGCTCTGCAACGGGAGAGGCCACAACAGTGAGAGGCCTGCGTACCACAAAAAAAAAAAAAAAAGAAAAGCAGAAATAGAGACACAGATGTAGAGAACAAAGGTATGGATACCAAGGGGGAAGCGGGGGGGTGGAATGAATTGGGAGATGGGGATTGACATATATACACTATTGATACTATGTATAAAATACATAACTAATGGGAACCTACTGTATAGCACCGGAAACTCTACCCAGTGCTCTGCAATGACCTAAACGGGAAGGAAATCCAAAAAGAGGGGATATGTGTATACATATAGCTGATTCACTTTGCTGTACAGTTAGAAACAACTGTAACACAACATTGTAAAGCAACTATACTCCAGTAAAAAAAAAATGCAAAAAAATATGAACAACACATATATCGAAATATGTGTATTTTGGTTCAAGTGTTCAGGGGGGAGAGTAATTTTAGCATTATGTTTTAAGAAACTTCAAATAGATGTACCATATGTTGCAAGCCCTGAGTCTGACTACTCCACGATATTCAAAACCCCTCGTCCTACCTTTCCCTATTATAGAATCAGGAATTGGGAAGTCTAAAATAATCACCTATCCTGGTAGCAAGGGGTGTGCTGTGATGGGATGCAGGTAGATGTCCCTGGGGAGGCCCTTCCTGAACAAATGATAATGGTTCACAAAGAGAAAGCTTTGTGCACTTCCTTCTTTGAATCAGCATTACTGACACATGCCCGTAAGCGCAACAGCCATCTTTCAACCCAGGGGATGCAAACCAAATGCCAAATCTGGCAAAACTGAACATCAGAAGAAGACAGGCTTTCTGATGATATCATTGAGCACCTGTACCAGGCAGACCTTGACTCCTGGCTTTTTGTGGCCTGAGACAATTAGACCTCTTACTTTTGAAAACCACTGTGGTCAGATTTTTATGTTGTCTGTAGCCAGATGCAATCCTAATAGAATAAACAAATAGGGAAACAGGGCCTGAAGGGTGTAACTTGAGGCAAACTTTCTACAGTCAATATGGAGATATGTGACAAAAACTTTTGAACTTGAATACGTACATATTTCGCCTATTTATATTTATTCTATGGGGAAAATTACGGATATGCGTAAAGATTCAAATATATGAACACTAATTTGACCACTGTTAATAATATAAAAAAAAGAATCCATGTCCCAACAATATGTTATTTACCTAAGTATTGTGAAATGTTTACATAAATTATGGTATAATCATCCAATAGAATATTTCACAGTCATTAAAACTCAGGTTGTATAAGTTCACAGGAAAAGTTTCATAATAAATGTAAGAAGGAGTTTTTTTCAAATTAAGAGCCATCTGATTTTTAAATAAAATAATTATTGATATATAATATTAATAGTGTATAATAGATAGTAATATATAATATTCTATAATACATTGATATGTAACACACATACATTATATTATATAAATCTATATAATTATATATAATAAATGTAATTGTATAATACAATGTAATTGTAAAATATGTAAAAGTATAATACATGGACAGAAAAGTTTTGGGTGGCAATCATATTGCAATATATAAATGTATCAAATCAACATGCTATACACTTTAAACTTACACAATGGCATGTGTCAATTACACCTCAAAAAACAGAAAGAAAAAAATTGGAGGGGATTTACTAACCAAAATTATAATAGTGGTTGTCTT